GGAGCCTTCGAAGAGGGGAGGGGGTTGTAGCGACCAAGGGAGAAGGTGAGGTAAAAAATTGTTCCCTCCCTCGCTCCCCCCCCCTCCCCAGGAGACCGCCCCGGACACGCCTATGGGTCCAGCTGTGCCGGCTGTGTAGAAATATCCTAGTAATATTACAAACTGTTCGGAAGCCGTTGACGATCTTGTTATCTTAAATATGTAGGGTATTTATTTTCGATCATCATACCTGATCACCCAGTAACGTCCAGCAATCGTTCACATTTGCATGCTTGCTCAATTCCACGTGATCGATGCCCGATTTTACCCTTGCTGCCGTGCTCCTTGACGCTGTCAATCGTATCCAATCCATAAGACTTCGACCTGGTCGCAGTACCACCCGTGTGCGACCTGTTTCGGAAGGAGCCAACTGAAAGTGAGAATTAAAAAACTTGCAAAAAAAAACGGATCTCCTCGACGGAAGGAGGAAAAAGGAGGATGGAAACTCTGAAGAGAACTTCCAACGCTTAAAATAAAAGCTCAAGAAAGCAATTCACAGGAATCAAAACAAAAATACTAAGACTGCCTGGGCAATCGACTTCGGCGATTCGACATTCTATCACTGGAATGCTCTCACTCACTAAAGGAAGAAGCTATACCCTCCTTTAGTTCCTTAGTTGTACGTTTCTAATTAGCACCCACTACCTGTTATATGTAAGCAACGCGGATCTAAGGCGACTTTCTGGTGCAGGAGAGGGGGAAAAAAGGAGGAGGGGAGGGGGAGGGGGGAAAGGAGGGTGCGGAGGAAAGTTTTCTTCGGTTAGCCTTAAATACGGGTTTTGCAGCGCTGGTGCGTGTGCTGTTGGGAGGTGGTCGAAGCACCCATCGCCCCCTACCTCCCCTGGATCCACTTATAAATGTATGCGCGTCACCTCTTCGATGGCCACCCCAGTAGGTTAATTCAATCCCCATGAAAAACATACGCTGTTCGAAACATTACAAAGTAAAATGTAGTATTACTAGAAATGACACCAGCTGCTAGTAGCAAGAAAACCAGGATCTACATGCTATTTCGACTTACTAAAAAAGTATTTAACATTTTTCAATGAAAGGAAGTATGCTCGAGATACAATATCGGCCATGATGAGGTTTGGTTCAGTTTGGCTCTATTAATTCACAGTTTTGTTCTCCACCTATTCAGCTGGCAAATTTTCCAGCTATCTGATCAAGATCAGCGGTCTGCCCGGTGGCAATATTTTCAAGGAATTCGCTCCCAAATCGTTCAAAATTTTAAAAATCACAAAGAATTACCCCAGATTTTTGTGGAACAGACAACATCACTGAAGCGCGCTCCTTGTCCTCTTCTGCTTCGCATCTGCTTACTGATCGTAGGCCACATATAACTAGTAATTTTCTCTGCAAAACATGCCGTGTTAATGGAAAAGACGGTGATAAGAGGAAGCCATTAAGCTTATCCTGTTAAGTGTGGAAAGAAACAGGAAACGAAAAAGCGGTGTGGAAGGGGGAAGGAAGAATTTTTCGCAAATATCAAAATTTTTAATGTTGTGTTAAAGAAAAACATTCTACGAATAATTCCTAGCTATGCTCACAATCATGTTTTTTTTTTTGCTTATCAGTTCCATGCTTCAAGGCCCTGTTAATCTGCCCACAGTAGTGATAACACTGTTATCAACAGCA